CTGGGCGGGAGCCCAGCGTGCGTCCTCCGTCCTCGCATTGTTGCGCCCGCCGCATGGCTGCTCAGCCTTGACCCGGGGACACCTGGGCCCCGCTGCTCCCCCCCGTGACCCTCAGGCCACCTCAGGATGTCTGGGTGCGAGCAAGGAGAAACCTCCCGCCTGCGTTAACCACCTTTGCCCTTTCTCCCCAGACAAATCTGGTGGTGGTTGGGACTGACTGACTCACCGCCAGAGGCCGCGGGTGCAGCGGGCCCTGCCTGCCGCTGGATTCCAGGTGGGTCTGCAGAAGTCATCCCTCAGCCCAGCCCAGAGTCAGCCACAAGTCCCGGCTGCAAGCCCCCCTTGGCTGTGGGAGAGGGACCGTGTCATGAACTGGCCTTATTGGTTAGGGATATGAGAGGCCATACAGCCCTACTTTTTTCTAAAGAGGGAATTTATGAAGAATTGCAAGCAAGGGAGAAACAGGAACAGAATTTCATGTCTTTGTTTCAATGCTAGTACCAGTATATTCCGAATTTTCTGATGGAAGGCCTAGAAATTTCCATATCTGCTACTACAGCAGATTACAACGGATTTATGGCAGTGCAAAGTGATGAGCTGCTCCTTGATGTAATAGACCAAGCAAGGTGGAGTATAATGACATACAGGAGATGAACTGACCATCTCAGTCTGTAGAATGGGGACAATAACATTAGTTCTTCTACTTTACAAAGTCACTGGGAAAAATCATTCAGTAGTATTTGCATAATGTATTGTAATGCCACATACTACAGATGTCCCAGGTGTTACTCAGAATTTGGCTGTCAGGTCGATGTGGTTCATTCTGCAAGCATAAAAGCTCCTTCTGTCCCCCGTTTTTTTCCTCTGGGAAAAATAAAAGAAGAAAAAAGAAGCCCAATAACCCATTATCTAGACCCGGGAATAATTGCTGGGGTTTTTTTGGATTTTTTGTAGTACAAATTATGTAATGAAGCAGAGAAAAGGCTTTTGAACAAATATGTTAATGAGATGGCAGCTAAAGGAGAGGATTACAGAGTTGCCAATTACAAATCAAAATTTTAATGTGATTTTGTTTTGGTTTTCCTTTTGTAGGCATTAGCCTGTGCAGCGTTTGAATGTGCTTTAGGGCTTCATGCAACCTGTATGGGAAATACCAATTCTAGGGCAAGAAAGCCTGATCACACGCTAAGAAAACCCCACTGACTCAAAATTCATAATGAGGGCTTTTATGTAAAAAGTTGTTGAGCACAGGGATTGTACTGAAAGAACTGTTCGTTCAGAGTCTCAAAAGCTTTTCTTGGAAAAATATCAGATGCTCCACTGGGAACTTAGTGGAAGGATACTCCTACAGCAACACAGCGGACTGGCTGTGGCTGTGAAAGTACTGACTGCAGGGAAAACAGAAGGTAACGAAACAATGTTGTTTGCTGAATGCCAGTAATAACTCTTTCTATTAAAATTCTGTGTAAACCTTCCAGTGCATAACATTATTGTACAAGACCTCTTTTAGGCATCTTTTCAAGTCAAGCTTCACACAGAGGTAAGTTCTGAACTGGTTGTTTTTTTAAATGTGATCTTCAAAAGCCTGGGTAGAAGAATGATCTTTTTCTGCTAAATCCTAGCATGTCTCAGGGTCAGTTGTTTGGCTTTTGTTTCTCAGTGTCAAGTATCAGAGTTCTTACAGTCCATCCTTAATATAATTTTGTTAACATTTTGTATCTCTAGGTGTTGCATGGAGTTTGCAACACTAATAACTTAAAAGAGATTGTGAGAAGCATTTTTGTCCTGACAGGGGATAGCAGTTATCTAGGTCAGACAGACTGCTTTTACACAGGCAAATAAGTTTGTCATTGTGTGGTTGGCCAGCATTTGAATTAGAGGTGGAAAATATTTATATCTGTAACTAAATTAATCAACTGCTACCTGTAAAGCCTTCTTGCCACAGAACACTCCTATCCTGAGATAACAGCAGCAGCTGGGGTTGTTGGCTTGCAGCAGATGAGATGTCAAAAAAGCAGTTTAATGGGAATGAGCCAGACTATGTTAAAATGTTTCCAATTTTTCCACCTAGCCTGATGATTCTGGAATTCCTGCTTCCCCAAGGGACGACTTCTAGTCCCTGTCCACTAACCCAAACAACACATGTCAGCCTTTGTCTAGTCTTTGGCAGTGTCCTACTTGTGAGTGCTCTCATTGCATGGAAATGACATTTTTTCTAGTATCTCTTGTACAAGAGGGAAGATCGCAAGGCTCTGCATGTGGTAGCACTGCTAAGATCATCTACAAACTTGCTGCCTCTGAAAGGAGCAGCCATTACTGTCCCAGCCATCACTGTTCCCACCCCAGGCGTAACTGGCCCAGCCTCTTATACTGGCTCTGGTGCTCGCTGGACACTTCATTGCATCTATTCAGCTCACTAACTCACCAGAAAACATTCTGCTTTCTTCATGGAGTTAGTCTTCTGCCAGTTCAGTAAGTTGAGGGAGGACTCCAGCAGTCTCCAGAGGCAGTGGCTGGGAAGCAACAAGAAATCCAGGGCAAGTTGACAGGGATGGGACCTTCTCTAGTCAGCGGCAGCAAGCTACTAGGTGGGCTCGGCTCTGTTGCTGCATCATGTCCTTGAGAAATCGGAATTCTCCTCCCATCTCTGCCACATTTTATTGTGATAATTAGAAAAGATTATCGACACACCCTCAGGCTTTGGTGTAACGATCTAGAATGGGAACAAAAGTCTTAAGGCTGTTCTGAAACTCGCTTGGTTACTGTTCTTGAAATGCTTTAAAATTCCTGTGTTTATTAGGGTAGAAAATGGTACATGCAGCAGCAAATGGGAGCAATAGGGGCTGGTAACCAGTGAAAGAGGTTAAGATATAAGAGACTTGATTCTACTCCCAGTTCCACTTCATGTCACCACTCCATTCCTAGGTCTCCTTGTAACACAAAGATTTGACTTCCTTTGTGAAGTGATTTGAAATTTACTACCGAGAAGAACTCTGTAAGAGCAAGATACTATTCAATGACAAGATACGAGAATTTAGCCCAAAAGCCTGCTACAAGCTCCAGCTTCCAAATGGTATATGCAACCAAAAGCCATTTTCACCTACTGCCTTTAAAGCAGTAGTCAAAGGCTATGAAACCACATATCTCAGTCTTGTAAATACTGCACTGGACTCTGCTATATTCAGAGCAGTACTGGCTAGAGGGAAGGATTTTTTTTCCTTGAAGGCCTGCAGTTAGTGTTCAATTACCGTGAGCTGAATTTCAGGCTGTGGGAGGTTTTTGTTTGAATGCTCTTTTTGAACCCTCTGAAACTCCTTCTGCTGGAGGCTTTGTAAGCATGATGGTCTCTCTGCAGCTTCCTTTTGCCTGCCTGTCAGACTAGTTCCGGAAAGCAAGCGGCCAAAGCTTTGTCCTCCTTTCAGCCCCTTGGCACACTGATGAGGAAGTTCATGGGCAAATTATGTGAAAGAGCTGCTGTTCCTGTAGCACACTCTGATCCAGGCAGTACCAAATGTATCTGAGCTGTATGCATGGATTTGAGGGGGGCAGAGAACTGCTGGAAGACTTGCCAAATCGAACATAATTTTCTGTGCTTCTCTCTGCTGGAGCATGCTGAACCCTTTGAGAGCAGCGCCCAGCCGCAGCCTGCATCGTTACTGCTCTCCTCCCCCATTTCATGCAGTCATGCTCTCCCCTTCCTCTACCTTGACTATGCATTGCACAACTTTTCTGCCTCCTTCTCTGAATGTAGGTGTCGTCTTACCCTCACGCAATATTTTTTTCTGCCTATGTAGTTGCCCTTCATGACAATGAAGAGGGTGCTTCAGTATCTTTCACTCTAATTTTCTAGTATGCAGTCACTTGTTCTTTTTGTGAAGCCTTTTTTGGTTTGTTCCGTATCACAGAACGTACTTCGGATGGCACACTGAAGGCAAGCTTGAAATAAGCTCTGCACAGTAAAGAAATATTGATTCCCGTGCCTGTACTTGATAAAGGAGGAAACAGAGGCATGGACTGGCAAATTGACTTGCCACACAATTATTTACTGCACCGCATCTCTTAAATAACAAGACAACAGATCATATTTGTACTGGACTGTTAGATAAAGCTAACCTTAGTACAACTCCTTTAGAATGAACTCTTCACATTTTCTTATTCAAGAGTTTGTAGTGCTTTTTTGTTGTTGTTGAATAGGGAGCATTTCTTCATTGGAGATTGGCCACAGGAATGCAAGTTTTGGCTGGTTCCCCACTTTCTGCTAGGCTCTACGCTGGTGTGAAGTTTCTTCCATGTTGGTAAGTTACCCAGAGGGATTGCTGCTAAAGATTTGAAGATCTGGAATCTGTACAGATCCGGTTGGCTACTATTTTTCTAAGTGGACATTCATTGCTTTTACAAACAGAACAGCTACATTGGAGTGTCTTGTTTTGAACTGCCACTCAAGTCCCTCTGGTCAGCAGAGGACAAACAGTGCAAGCTGTAGTCAGAGCTCTCTCATTACTCGGTGTGGGTTCTGAAATTCTTTATTTCTGCGAGTGACTCCTTGGTAAGGCTTTAATAAGTCTGCAGGATCGAATTGTCAAGATGATTCCTGCAGCCATCGATTTCAGGGGGCTGTTGACACCCCAGAAGCAATGTGCAAAATGTCAAATTCTTTGTCCTTGATCCTGCTTCCAGTTCCTCCCTCTGTGCCACCAGCTGTCTCTGCCCTTCTGATCGTGCTTGCCACCCCTGCAATAGTGCCATTGCACCCGATTGTGGGGCTGTGCTGTAGACCAAATTGCTAAAATGAACTGGATTAAAGATAACCTTTGAGTTAACCTTTCTGGGTTATCTTTAACCCAGATCAGACACACAAGCCCTCACAAAATAGTCGGCAGTGGAGCACAGCCATGTGTGCCTGCAGAGACCTTTGCTTTGGGGAGAACCCAAACTCTCCCGTTCCCGTAGCTCGTTCCTTCCTCTCCACTGTTTAAGCGAGTGAGAGATGACCCTCCCTTGACAGGAGGATGTCCCATAGCCCAACTGTGACAGAAGCCAGGCATCAGCACCTCAGTCCCCGCAGATCATGCACCGTATGAGAATCTGTTGTTCACGGCAGCTTTCCATGAGCGCTATGAACAGGGAGGCTGTTCTTAAAACAGCCCGGTGGCCGAAGCGATAGACACCCTGGATGAGAGGGGGCTCTGGGGTGGCAGGGCCGGTCCCTGGGGGGTCAGAGGGACTCCCGTGGGGACAGCAGGGGCAGCGCCTACGGGGCAGAGGCCGGGGCCGGGTGGAGCAGCCCGCGGTGC